CCTTTCTTTATCATAATGCTTTATGCCTTAAAGTTTTTGTCATCAGGTATTAAAAGAATTGCTGTTGTTGTTTAGTCACTAAGTCATGTCCGACTCTTTTGTGACCCCAAGGACCGTAGCCCACCAGTCTCCTCTGTCCATGGGATTTCTCATGCAAGAATAATGGAGTGGGTTGCCATTTCCTTTGCCAGGGGATCTTCCTGACCCAGGGATTAAACCTGCGTCTCCTGCTTGGCAGGTGGATCTGTACCAGTGAGCACCTGGGAAGCCTTTTAAAATGATTATACTAATTTAATTTGGTTAACATGTGCATGGCATTTTTTTAAAAGTTTTACACTCTATGTCTTTGCTTTTAAATTGTTTCTAATAAACTGCATAATGCTAGATGTTATACTTTATTCACTCTGAAATATGTCAATCTTCTACTTGGTTGGTGTAGTGGTTTACTGTCTAAGTCATGTCTGACTCTTTGTGACCCCATGGACTGTAGCTCGCAGCTCCTCTGTCCATGGGATTTCCCAGGCAAGAATACTGGAGTGGGTTGCCATTTCCTTCTCCATTTCTACTTGGTTAATGTGATCCATTTTACACAGATCTTATATCTACCAGTCATATACTTTTTATTCCACATGTCTGCATTATGCTTGTTTTCCCCTCACTTGCCTGTATTTGTATAAACAAATGTCATTCATTATGCCTCTTGTTACTTCAATGAATTTCTTAAGTGTGTAATCCTATTGTTTGAATGATTAACCTAGATTTGCAACATGCACCTGCAACATCATATAGTATAATCCACATATTAAGTTACCTCTTCCAAGTACTGCTAGAAGCTTAGACCTTTTATCTCTATTTACATACCTCCCAACTTTTGTGACGAACATATTTGCACCTATCTGAACATTGAAGTTTCTTTCTGGTATCATGTTTCTTCTGACTGGAAAAACAAAAAACCCCAAAGTGGTATTTCTTTGAGTGCTAGCCTGCTGGCAATGATTTGTTTTCCAAAGGAAAGTTTTGTTCTTCATTATTGAACAGTATATTCACAAACAAAAGAATTCTAGTTTAGTAGCTTCCCAGGTAGCTCAGTGGTAAAGAATCTGCCTGCCAATGTAGGAGACACTGGAGACGCGGGTTCAATCCCTGGGTCGGGAAGATCCCTTGGAGGAGGAAATGGCAGGCCACTCCAGTATTCTTGCCAGGAGAATTTCATGGACAGAGGAGCTTGGTGGGCTACAGTCCATACGGTCGCAGAGGATCAGATATGACTGGATGACAGCACAACAGCACACACAACTGCAATTTTCTGAGTAAATATGTTATTTCAGTGTCTTCTGCACTCAGTCATTTTTGTTGGAGTTAATCATCTATTTTATTGTTATTTATTTTAAGATATGGATATTTTATCTCTGGCTGCTCTTCAGATTTCTCAGTGTCTCTTGTTCAACAGTTTTATTATGATATGGTTAGGTGTGTATTTCCATGTGCTTGTTTTGCTTGAAGTTCATCATTTTTCTTAAAGCAGTAGGTTAATATGTTTTCATACTTTGGGGCAATTCTCCTTCATTATATGTTTTTTATTACTCCAATTCTTTTTCCTCAAATGATACTCCTTTTTAATGTTTTCAGATGTATTTATATGTTTCACATATCATTTCTGCATTTTAATGCTTTTTTCTATGTTGTTAGTCACTGATTTATTTTTTATAGTTAACTAATTTAGGTAATTTTCCAGTGCAGTCTATGATTCAAACTGTCCACTGATTTTCTGAATTTAGATATTTTATTTTTAAGCTCTAGAATATGTATGTAACAAATCTGCATAGATGCCAGTTTTCTGGCGAAATGAATCTACCTTCTTTCTGTTCGTTTTTCTTCGTTTCTCTGAAATAGTAGTCATAGGTATTTTTGTTCATTTTGCCTTTTCCACTCTTTGGATCATCCTTTAGCTGGCTTCTATCTTCTTTTTTACTCTTTGTTGTTGTTTTCCCTTTATTATTGACCTTAATTTCTTCCTTTTATATATGTAATAATGCTTTGTTGTATGCTAGGAGGAGGGCATGGCAAGCCACTCCAGTATTCTTGCCTGGAGAATTCCATGGCCTATAGTGTTGCAAAGAGGCAGACACAACTGAGTGACTTTCACTTCACTTCACACATGTTCTATATATGAGGAGCCATAGGAGTTCAGAGGACGTACCTTCAACTTGAAAAGTTTATATCTTTTCTTTGTTTGGAAGATAGGCTGAATGACTGATAATACAACAGAGAATTGACTTTGGTCAGAAATAAGTGTAGTTTTGGAAAGACATATATACCTTACTATACTTTCTACTGGGAACCTATAAGCCTGTATTTTCTCAGCCGCAAAACCAATGGGTGACTATGTTCTAATACTCAAATCTTCAAAACTAAATCCTCTAGCTTATACTTCAAGCTCCTTCAAAATCAGCCAAATGTTTTAAAGGGAAGACCTTACATGTTCTTGAGTCAAACTCCCTTCCACTAGGTCTTTTCTCCCTAACTACAATAGACTGTAGATAACTCTGTCCTTAAAGACTTCAACCTATTGCCCAGCAAATGAATCTAAACTCAGCAAAAGTGGTGTGGGAAAAACTGATTTTGAATTTAATGCCCTTAAGTGCCTAATTTATCAATCTGGTGTATTCTACACACCAAGAATTTTTCAGGTTTCTTTTTCTTCAACAGAGGAATTACAACTGGGTAGGCCAAACTTGATCATTAATTGATATTCAAAACCATCATGTTACAGGGAACATTTATATTACAGGGAACATTTATGTTCCAGGGGAAAAAGTACTGACAGTTCAAATTGTTTTCTCTTCCTTGTAATTTTTGAATCTTCTACTCTTCATTTCCTCCACAGTTCTATGATTTTTCAAAATATATGTCATTTTCAGATATGTACTTGGCATTGTACAGCTGTTATTTTCAGAAAACTTGTTTGTCTACAGAGACTTACCTAAAATGGAAAGTATCTATCTTACCCCATTTTACAATCAAAGAAACTCAGAAATTTAGAGACAACTGTTACCAGTTGTCTGGTAACAGTTACCAGACAAAAATTACCATTCTGTAATTTTAAAAATTTTGTTGGAAACTTGCAGTAGATTTCAGTAATTTCCCCAAAATAGTTAAGGGCAGTGGTAAAGAAAAACTCAAGCAAACAAACAAAAAAAATGGATATTTCTTCAGTCCCACTTTCTTCATTATACCAAGATGAGTTCAGTTCAGTTCAGTTCATTCACTCAGTTGTGTCTGACTCTTTGTGACCCCATGAACCGCAGCACTCCAGGCCTCCCTGTCCATCACCAACTCCCGGAGTCTACCCAAACCCTTGTCCATTGAGTTGGTGATGCCATCCAACCATCTCATCCTCTGTTGTCCCCTTCTCCTCTTGCCCTCAATCTTTTCCAGCATCAGGGTCTTTTCAAATGAGTCAGCTCTTTGCATCAGGTGGCCAAAGTATTGGAGTTTCAGCTTCAACATCAGTCCTTCCAATGAACACCCAGGACTGATCCCCTTTAGGATGGACTGGTTGGATCTCCTTGCAGTCCAAGGGACTCTCAAGAGTCTTCTCCAACACCACAGTTCAAAAGCATCAATCCTTCTGAGCTCAGCTTTCTGTATAGTCCAACTCTCACATCCGTACATAACCACTGGAAAAGCCATAGCCTTGACTAGATGGACCTTTGTTGGCGAAGTAATGTCTCTGCTTTTTAATATGCTGTCTAGCTTGGTCATAACTTTCCTTCCAAGGAGTAAGCATCTTTTAATTTCATGGCTGCAATCACCATCTCCAGTGATTATGGAGCCCAAAAAATTAGTCAGCCACTGTTTCCACTGTTTCCCCATCTATTTCCCATGAAGTGACGGGACCGGATGCTATGATCTTAGTTTTCTGAATGTTGAGTTTTAAACCAACCTTTTCATCCTCCTCTTTCACCTTCATCAAGAGGCTCTTTAGTTCCTCTTCACTTTCTGTCATAAGGGTGGTGCCATCTGTATATCTGAGGTTATTGATATTTCTCCCAGCAGTCTTGATTCTAGCTTGTGCTTCTTCCAGCCCAGCATTTCTCATGATGCATGTAAGTTAAATAAGCAGGGTGACAATATACAGTCTTGATGTACTCCTTTTCCTATTTGGAATCAGTCTGTTGTTCCGTGTTCAGTTCTAACTGTTGCTTCTTGACCTGCATACAGGTTTCTTAAGAGTACCAAGATGAGTACTGTAACAGAATTCAATCAGAGAAGAATACTCAGTGATTTTAGGGGGATAGAATTGAATATAAGAAATTAGGTATCAAAGCTACTTAAGAGCAGGTAAAGGGAGGCATTGTGCTAGTAACTGGTTAATAGCCATAAATACTAATTAAAGATGGTGATTTCATTCATGGAGCTGAAGAGTAAAGAGAAGAGGATGGGATACTTGAATCTAGAGTACTGTAGGACTGGCTCCATGGATCTCAACAATGAGACTCAAAGCTCTTCCTGCAGGTACTACTAGGCTAGTGCAAAGGATTTGAGACATTGGTAGAAAGATCAAAGACCTGGGGCTCAGTCCTAGCCAGCTCTGCTGCCTTGTTTTAGACCCACAGTGAGGTTGGTCTGGATTGAATTTTGTTTTTACTTTTCTTCTATTTTGGATTGAATTTTTAAAAAGGATATTGAAACTAAGTATAATTGCCAGTGTAAAATCTGCTATTGAGATAAGATTGACACACACAGATCACCCAGATTTCCAAGTCCCCGGCGTTCACCCTACCACAGATCTGAGGTCTGATACTGTAGAAATGTGCTTCCTATAATGCAGAATACAAAATGGGAAGCAGCTTTGGAGCTGAAAAGCAGTAACTTAAAAACTGATAAACCACCCATGTGTCTGTCATGCCTTTTTCTAGAAAATATAAAGAAAGAAATAAATCTCTAAAGAAATAAAATTTCTAATTGTTTAAAATAAAGAAGAATAAGGAGAAACATTATAGGAGTTATGTTTTTAATGCATATCTATTCAGATACATTTTTTTGGTAGTAACTGTTTTTATTTCCCATGTCGACTCGGAGTTTTTTGCTTTGGATTTTCCTCTTGAGGCTGATTTTTTCTCTTTTTTTCCTTAGGCTTTTTCCTCATACAAAGCAACAGAAGACAACATAATAAAATTAACAATGCAATAAATAATGCTATTGCCACGTAAATCTTGGGTATTTTCTTTCTCTTAGGGGGTGGGCCACTGTCAACACTACCTCCGTCGCCTCGTTTTACGCAATTGGGAGGGTCCCACTTATAGTTGCAGTGGCAGTGATGTTTATTGTTGCAGATCCCCCTCATGTTACAGAACGTAGGGGAACAATTACTATCCAAGCGAGAGATATGGACACACTTCCTTCCGATGCAGACATGCTCTGGGCCACACTCTGTGCCATCCCTCACTTCACCAATGTCAGGTATGCCCATCCCAAAATGGTAGTCTGTACCCCAGCAGGTGGCACTGTTAAAGCGAGTTCCATGCATTGTAGAATGCTCTGTCAGAACAGGAATTTCTGCCACATTATCACACTGAATTCTTCCACAGAAGATGTCCGACATATTGCATTTTAAATATGTAGGGCCTTCGGTTCCACAGTTACCAAAACGGTCACCTTGAGTGTTTATTTGTCTGTAGCAACTGTCGTTTGCATTCTTTGCCGTTTGGCCAAAAATCTGCCTACAGTGTGCATTGCGATCATTACATCTCTTTTCATAGCAGTAGGAAATGTCATTACAGGGAATTCCATCCTCTACATATACATCATCTGGGCACATGTGGGATGATCCATTGCACCACTCTGGAAGATCACATTCATTGACCTCCTTCCTACACATTTCTCCTGATGGTAAGAACTTGCAGTCCTTGCAACAAAGCCCAAAAGCACAAACAGACCCAAAACTCAGACTGCAATTTGTCAGACAACAGGCATCTTTTAAACACTGCTGTAAAGATCCACAGTCACACTCTTCTCCTTCTTCAACAACACCATTTCCACAGCGCTTCCTTGAAAATATGTCCTTTGTATATATAGTGTACCGCAAACATTTTGCCTTCTTTATAGCATATCCCCAAAAAAAAGAATAACTACAGTTGCTAAACTTGGCTATTGGTGGGTTGTCATGACGCATTATACATCTATTGTAACCTGCTGAACACACACACAATATAGTATCATGGGTCATTCCCAAATTATGACCTAAATGATGAGCCACTGCAATTCCAATAATGACCAAGGTTTTGTTTGCAAAAGTAACAGCTGCGCAACTGAAGTGTGGTCTGCACATTCCTCTGATAAAGCCTATACCACTTAGTCCTCTTAATGTCTTATGCATAAAAATATGTGTAGTATCATGTGCTATGCGAGCATCAATGTTATTAGCCTTCCAGACGCAAAAATCTCTCAGAGCTCTCTGTACAGCATCTATTTCAACAAGGTTTCTTTGAGTCCAGAACTCCAAACCAATTAGTAACACCTTCATACCCATTACCTGATAAATGGAATCCACAATATTTACAATAGTAAATAAATCCTCTTTCACCTTTGAGACATTCTTTTTAAAATAATTATATAGAGTATAGTCCACCACCACTGCCATTTCAATAAAGAATGAGTGGATCCACCAGCCTTCATAATTACTTTGTTTCAGAGTAAAATTATCAGTCTCTTGAAACTCAAATTGCTCTACAGTTTCCTCTTGCATAAAACCAGATTTCATGTTTGGTAACTGGGTCTCTTCACTCTCCATTTTATACACCAGGTGTTCAAATTTGGTAGAAAAAATCATGGGCTTAATTTCATAAACAACATTATTTATCTGTAATAATCCTCGAAAGCCACCAAAACAGGTACTGAGGGCAACAAGGGATTCTGGGTCCCCCTCCACATAACCATGATAGTAGCAGTCGTTCTGGACAAAAGGTTGGTCCTTCAGGAGAGCACCCTCTTCTGAGTAGGTGAACACTGGGAGGTGTCTGGACAGCAGATGTTTCTTGACCTTCATGTGGAAAACGTGTCTCTGACCCCCTAAATGCAAGCTGTAAGACAGCCGACCTGGAGGCTTCATGCCTCTGCCAGTGCCAGTTATCTTCAAGGGAATTACCACTTCTGGGGGACTGTGATATCGAAGGTTCTCGGCCTGAGTGTGTCCTGTAAGAAACAGAAACACTCCAAGCCAGTGTAGCAGGGGTATGACCCTCATATACAACAGAGATTTGATCACAGTCATTATGAAGCTACCATTATTGGTTCAGAGAAGAAGGCAGGCAGGGCTGGGAGTCACAGTTGGTCTGGCTCCTTATTCTGAACTGGTTATTGTGCAGAACTAGTCATTAAGTCTTTGTCTTCTGCCAGAGTGGAACCATTAGAACATCGGCACTGTAAGTAAAACAAAATACAACATATGGATGGGGATGGTTAGAAAAGGGCCTGAAAGAGAGAAAAGGAAACATATACAATAAAAGTGATTACTGTTTTGATCAAGGAATGACTCTAGAAACTGCACAGAATTTGTTTTCAAGTATTTATAAGGCAGAGAGGCATTGGGGGAGTATATAAGGCTGAAAATTGGCCATAGATTTATAGTTATTGAACTTGAATGATGGATAATTAAGGATTCATTATACTGTTCTCTAAATATATGTGTGTTTGTAAACATTTCCACAGTAAATAGTTCAAAGAAATATAATCTTAAGGATAAGGCGACCATAAATCCTGGATTGCTGGAATTACCCTAATTTACATATGTTAAATTGATATCAGTAGTAATACCTGTTTTTTTCAGCCTCAAGCCATAAATTACTCAATTACCTAAGATACATGTTAAAAGCAACAATAGCACAATAACTCAGCGAAAGTCTCCTGTTATTTTAAAATCTGTTCTATAGTACCTACCATTACCTCCCTACAAGAAAATGTTTAGTTTTCTTTCATCTTTCTTACATTAATCTCCTCATTAGACTTGTCACATTAGTAGTACTCAAGAGTATTATCTATGTCTTTCATAAATGTTAGTATCTCCTATAACGTCTAACTAAATTCTTTATATAATAAATAATGGTCAACTTGACTTTTATTGTTCCTTGGAGTTCTTACTGAAAAGGCATTTACACTTGATTACATTTTAATGTAGAACACTGTTCAATACCTGTAACCAATTTGCTTTTGGAACAAAGTGGTATAGGCCCACATTTTTCTGCTTATTTTCTCTAAATACAACTAAATACTCTGGATATAATTAAATCGAAGACAAAAAATACCTCTGAAAGCTAAAAAGCAAAAGACAGACTGACTAGAGGTCTACAGACTTGAGGAATGGCAACAGGGTGCCATAGCTCATATTTATTCCAAATTAGGTGCTAGAGAGGTCTTTAATACAGAATCACCATTAAGCATAGACAAAAGCAGGAAAAAAAAGCCTCAAAAATTTTTTTCTCCTTCTTGAAAAATGACAGAGAATTAAAAAACTCAACAGAGAACCAGTAAGATGCTCCAGCATCTACTCTTGAGCAAGTCACATGTGACTGATTCACCCAGAGTGACAACTTCAGATATTTGTAGGCCAACTCAAAACACATTCCATAATCAGAGAACTAGTGGACTGTTCAGTCCACTTATACTGGCAATATAAAGACCTGGCAGGTCAGCCTAACCCTCATTCAACATCTAGGTAACTGATCTGCCTTCAGAGGCAGCAGCAAAATCCCAACAATTTGATCCAACCTCAGCTCAACACTATGGCAGAGAATGGAGCCCTATATTAAACATAGCAGTATCATTCATAAAGCCTGAAATATCCCACCCCTTCACCAAATGACATAGGAGACATAGCCTATTGGCTTCTGTTCTTCACACCTCCAGAACTGAATATGGCCCAGTGACACCAGTTAAATCCAGAATAAAGATTCATTAAAACTGTGCAAAGTCAAAGACAAGAAAATTTGAAAGTGGTAAAAGCAAACAACATGTTACATACAAAAGAACCACCATAGAACTGTGAGTAGATACTTCAGCAGAAATACTGCAAGTCTAGAGGGAGTGGGGTGATGTCAAAATGCTGAAAGAAAAAAACCTATCAACTAAGAATGCCATACTTGGCAAAACTGTCTTTGAAAAAAAAAAAGAAGATACAAAGACATCACCAAACAGCAAACAAGAGCTGAAGGAGTTTATCACCACTACAATTGCCTTACAAGCAGTGCTAAGGGGAGTTTTTCAAGTTGAAAGAATGCTAAAGAACAACATGACAGTATAGAAAAGTATGAAATATACATACATATTTCATATAAAAACACATAAATGTAAACTCATCTATAACAAAACTAGAATACATTATTACTTTAATTATGGTGGGTGAGCATATGGTGTTCATATGTTGGATATTCATACAGTGGGTGTTCTTATGGTGAACACTTTTAATTTTAGAATCAAAGTCAGTCCCCTGGAGGAGGGCAAGGTAATCCAATCCAGTATTCTTGCCTGGAGAATCCCGTGGACAGAGGAGCCTGGCAGACTACAGTCCATAGGGTCACAAAGAGTCGGACACAACTGAAACAACTTAAAGTAAAAGATGAAAGAACTATAAGTAACTAAAACTAAAACACCTACATAGTAAAAATTGATATCTAAGTTGTAACAACAATAACATAAAATGTGAGCTGAAGAGAAGTTATAGTGTAGAGTTTTTGTATGCAATTGCACTTAAAAAAATTGCATACTTTAACAGTGATATTTTATGTAAGCCCCAAGTTAACCACAAAAAAATATAGTTATAGAAGTTACACACATACACAAAAACCCCAGCAAGGAATTAATAAATGTAAAATACCAAAAAAATCAACAAAATATGACATCGAAGGCAACAAGGGAGGAAGACAGATAAGAGAACAAAAAGGATTAATAGAAAACAAAGAATAAAATGACAACATTAAATCATTCCTTAACAAATAATAACTGTAAATATAGATGGATTAAACTTTCCAATCAAAAGAGAGTGACTGAATGGGTGTAAAAAAATAAGACTCAATTATATGCTGTCCAATGGAAAAAAACATTTACTTTAGACATAAGAAGACCTCAATCAAATCCCTTATGATTATACAGTGGAGGTACAGTGGAGGTGATGGATAGATTCAAGGGATTAGGTCTGGTAGACAGAGTGCCTGAAGAACTATGGATGCAGGTTTGCACCATTGTACAGTAGGTGGGGACTAAAACCATCCTCAAGGAAAAAAAACACAAGGCGGCAAAGTGGTTGTATAAGGAGTGGTTGTGTAAAGGCCTTACAAATAGCTGAGAAAAGAAGAGAAGCTAAAGGCAAAGGAGAAAAGGAAAGATATACCCATCTGAATGCAGAGTTCTAAAAAATAGCAAGAAGAGATAGAAAGCCTTCTTAAGTGAAGAATGCAAAGGAATGGAGGAAAATAACAGTATGAAAGATTAGTGATCTTGTCAAGAAAATTAGAGATACCAAGGGAAAACTTCGTGCAAATATAGGCACAGTAAAGGACAGCAAGAACTTAATAGAAGCAGAATAGATTATGAAGAGGTGGCAAGAATACACAGAGAGCTGTAGAAAGAAGGTCTTAATGACCTGGATAACCTTGATGGTGTGGTCATTTACCTAGAGGCAGACCTCCTGGAATGTGAAGTCAAGTGGGCCTTAGGAAGCATTACTACTAACAAAGCTAGTGGAGGTGATGGAATTCCAGCTGAGCTATTTCTAATCTTATAAGATGTTGCTGTGAAAGTGCTGCACTCAATATGTCAGCAAATTTGGAGAACTCAACAGTGGCCACAGGACTGGAAAAGATCAGTTTTCATTCCAATCCCAAAGAAGGGCAATGCCAAAGAATGTTCAAACCACTGTATAATTGCACTCATTTCACATGCTAGCAAGGCAATGCTCAAAATCCTTCAAGATAGGCTTCAACAATATGGGAACCAAGAACTTCCAGATGTACAAGCTGGATTTAGAAAAGGCAGAGGGACCAGAGATCAAATTGCCAACATCTGCTGGATCATGGAATAACCAAGGGAATTCCAAAATAATCTACTTCTGCTTCATTGACTACACTAAAGCCTTTGATTATGTGGATCACAGCAAACTGTGGAAAATTCTTAAAGAGATGGGAATACCAGGCTACCTTACCTGTCTCCTGAGAAACCTGTATGCAGGTCAGGAAGCAACAGTTAGAACTGGACATGGAATAACAGACTGGTTCAAAATTGGGAAAGGAGTATGTCAAGTATCATCACCCTGCTTATTTAATTTATATGCAGAGCACATCATGCAAAATGCAGGGCTGGATGAAGTACAAGGTGGAATCAATATTGCCAGGAGAACTATCAATAACCTTAGATATGCAGATGATACTACTTTAATGGAAGAAAGCAAAGAGGAACTAAAGAGCCTTTTGGTGAAGGTGAAAGGGGAGAGTAAAAAGCCTGGCTTAAAATTCAACATTCAAAACATGAAGATTATGGCATTTAGTCCATCACTTCATGGCAAATAGATGGGGAAAAAGTGGAAGCAGTGGCAGATTTCATTTTCTTGGGCTCCAAAATCACTGTGGATGGTGACTGCAGCCACAAAACTAAAGCACATTTGCTCCTTGGAAGAAAAGCTATGACCAACCTAGACAGTGCATTAAAAAGAAGAGACAACACTTTGGTGATAAAGGTCCATCTAAGTCAAAGCTATGGTTTTTCCAGTAGTCAGGTATGGATGTGAGAGCTGGACAATAAGCTTGAGCACTGAAGAATTGATGCTTTTGAATCATGCTGTTGGAGGAGACTCTTGAGAGTCCCTTGGACAACAATATCAATCCAGTCAATCCTAAAGGAAATCAACCTTGAATCTTCATTAGAAGGATTGAGGCTAAAGCTGAAGTTTCAATACTTTGGCTACCTGATGTGAAGAGCAGACTTGTTAGAAAGATGCTGACTCTGGGAAAGATTGAAGGCAGGAGGAGAAAGGGGTGACAGGGGATGTGGTGGTTGGATACCATCACCAATGTAATGAACCTGAGTTTGAGCCAAACCTGGGAGATGGTGAGTAACAGGAAAGCGTGGTGCACTGCAGTCAGTGGGTCACAAAGAGTCAGACATGACTTAGTGACTAAACAACTACAACAACAAAGCAACAAATAGTTAGTGGTAAAGGCTGTATAACTGTGAATATACTCAAAACCACTGTATCTTACACTTTAAAGGCTGAACTTAATGTAAATTATAGCACTATAGCACTATTATAATAAAGAGAAATGCAGGATGATGAACTTTATAATTATTTTATGACCCTAAAGAATAGTATGGTAGGCATGCATCTTCTTGGTTTTCTGAAATTGAACGAATATCTCCAGGGTTTTTCTTCCTTG